AGCTCACTAAAGCCAATCAGAAACATTTTAGCATCATATTTACATTAAAGGACTTAATAACTAACAGGCAATAGAGTAAGTAAAGGACTTCGCATAACTGACACACAATCACTCCATAGAATAGGATTTTCTTGTTATGGTAACAAAAATTATAAAGTCTTGGAACAAAAGGCAAAATTTATAATAGGTACATATAGGAAAGGAGATTCCAAGTGGTGACAAGTGCCATGCCATTTATAAGCCCTTCCACCCTCTTTTGTGGGTTCCATCTCTAGTTAGGTAAGACCTCCCAGATTCCTAAGACACAAGCGATTATAAATGAAATAAATATGCTCCCCCTCATATAAACATATTTCAATGTCTAAAGGGATTACACTTGTTTTTTAGAAATAGGTACTAGTTTGCAATAATATTTTACTATCATCATGAAGTCATACATGCAACACTGTCATTGCCAGGTCTCAAGTCCTATATGAAAAAAGTTGAGGGTTGCATTAGGTAGTCGATAGCAAGCGTAAAACTTGTTGAATAATCATGACATCATGACATGAAGTCATACATGCAAAAAAAAAAATCAATATTTAAATTTGATTCTCTGGCCCAATTGTTTATTCAAACTAAACTTATATCAATCATCATTACTTAATAACAAAAACAATAGCCATTTCCAACACCAAGATATTGTAGCATAAACCATTTGAGAGAACTTCAAAGGTCTCGGTGATATAGAAAGAATTAAAAATTATTGCCTTCCTTAACTATTTACATCTTCAACTAATTAAAATTATACAAAAAGCACCAACCATACTTTTTTTTTTTCAATTTGAACATTGGACCTACTTTCTATAGAACATAAACAATATATAACCCAACCAACAGGTTGGTAGTTAGAAAATAGATCCTCCTAGCATAACAACAAATCTCTTTAGCAACAATGAAGTCTAAAAGCTTGTTTTCATTACCCTCTCTAATAACATCAAAGCATGACTACTAAGTTTGATTATCACTTAATCATCATAATCCTTAAAATCTACTTTACTTGAAAATTGGTACGAAATGCTTCTTTTTCAATAAATAGTGTTCAATTTGTTTTTAAGATTTAATTGAAAACATTATCAAAAACTACTACAATATGTCTTGCAAATCTCAAAATTTATCAGCTCTAAAATTAACACATCCTCTTCTGAGCTAACTCCACATGAACTTTTTTTTTCAATCTATTCAAGATTTTGAACAATATGCTCGCCACAAAATATTTTGCCCACTTAAAATGCTCCTTTTTTCAAAAATAAATTTATATATTTCTTTCTTTAACTGCAATTATATTATCTTCGCCTTTAATAAATCTACTATTATCAAAAGTGTGACATTGAATATGAAAGGCACAATGGCTTTTAATCAAAAGAAAATTGACAAATAATATAATAATTTTGTGAACAAAATAGTTACTAAGAAATACAACCATATAAAGGAGATAACATCATAACATAGACCAAGCATATGGCACTGTTTTGATCTCCTGAGCTCCCAGCACTCAAACAACCCCACCCTTCTCACAGTTCCGAGAAAGTGCAAAAGAAAATGCATAAACCACTAATCATCAGGCCATCAATAGTTTTCATTTTAAGGCAAAGTATATAGTAATTACAAAATTCCTGAAAGAATATGTCAATATCCATAGCGGCTAAGTTAAATAGAACTCATATCCTAATATTATAAAAAAAAAAAGAGATTACCAATTTTACGAAGTTAACCACATGCATTGAAACTTTAGATTAACAACTACTCAGATTGCACAACCTTAATTCTCAAAAGGATCATGCATATCGTGTCAGTCCATAAGACTCTGCTTGAGCATTGAAAACATTTAATATGCTAAATGTAACACACGTATAATAGTAGGTCTAGCTTTGAGGTGACTTTGACTTCAGCATCCATAGATTGTCGGATCCAAGCTTCTGAAAGGGATTCATACTGTTAGGATATATATCCCCAAGTCACTGCCCCTGGATTCCTAGACCACATTGACTCAGGTATTGCAAGGTCTAGCATTACATGCATGCTAAAAAATTAAAACCAAACAAAGCTTATGTAAAGAACCAAAGAAGCAAAACCGTGCCTCTTTAAAGCATATGGGGCATTACATTCATGGCATGCAGCAGCAACAACATCAAGCCTTTGTCCCACTACGTGGGATCGGCTACATGAATCCTTTTTCGTCATTGTATCCTGTTAAAAGTCAAATTCTCATTTAAATCTAATAAAGAAAGATCATTTCAAATAGTTTCTAACCAAGCCTTTTTAGGTCTACCTCTACCTTTTTCAACATAAGTCAAATCTAATACCTCAACTTTCCTAACCCGGTCCTTAGAAGGCCTCCGTTTAATGAGACCAAACCATCTAAGGCGACTCTCTCTAATCTTATCTTCCACTGGAGCTACTCCAACCTTTTCACGTATATGCTCATTTCGTATCCTATCTCTAAGGGTAAAGCCACTCATCCACCTAAGCATCCTCATTCATAGCATAACAGCCAAAAAAAATTGAGTATTGCAATATGCACTAGGGGTGTAAGCGAGCAGAGCCGACTCACGAGCCGGGTCGCGAGCCGGCTCTAGCTCGACTCGTTTATGGGCTCGTGAGCCAAGCTTATCGAGCCCACGAGTCGAGGTCGAGCTCAAACTCGAGCTCGTTTGTTAAACGAGCTCAAGTTCAAGCTTGATTAAAGCTCGGCTCGTGAGCTCGCGAGCCGGCTCAATTAAGTATTAATATTATTAAAATACTTTTTAGTTTATTTATTAAATATGAACCTGTCTAATTCCGCCTAAAAATAAATATTAAATGTTGTGATTTCCTGCCTAATCCCGATCAAATTCGAGGCGATCAGCGGTAAAGGTGTTCACGTTTGCGGCTCTATGAAATCCGCCTAATCCCGTCACGGACTGCGTGCGCCTAATCTTCCCACCTAATCCCATTTGCCATTATATTTTATTTATTAAATTTGAATGGGATCTTGCTGGCAGAATAAATGCTCTTATGTTGCAACTTTTTTGGAATTTGTAATAAATTTTAAACTGAAATTTGTAATAAGTTTGAACGAGACTACGCTGAAATTTTTCATATTTTTATTTATTAAATTTTAAATTGGATTTTGTAATAAATGATGCAGCTTTTTCGGAAAACAACCCGAGCTTGCCAAAGCTCGCGGCCAGCTCGAGCTCGTTTATAGTGGGGCGAGCTCGAGTTCGAGCTCGCCTTTTGAGCTCGACTAGAGCTCAAGCTCGTGTTCGAGCCCGACTAACGAGCTGAGCGCAATAGTGCCAAAACTCGACTCAACTCGACTCGTTTACACCCCCAATTTGCACTAAAGCACTTGAGGACATAAAATTATGATTAGAAAAACATTGAAATAAGAATCATCACAAGAAGGAGAATAATTTGAGTTTCAAGGAAAAGAAAAAGGAAAATAACTGTTACTGTATGGTTAAAGAATCTCATTATCCACAAACCTGAAAATTTATCTTTTGTTGAAAGTTAATGCCCCACCCATTCTACCCCTCCTATAGCCCATCCTTTTGTCCTCGCTATACTCCTACTGTTGGCCTTTATTGGTTTCTATGACTTGATAAATAGCATATACTTCCCCTAATAAAATATTATGCAAGTTACTACCACTAATAGCTCAAAATTTTACATGTTCTCATTGCAATTAAACATCATGTGCAATTCGTGTTTTGCACACTACATCATGGAGTCAGAAACCCATTATGTGCTTCCCTCCACACTTCACACGTGTTGGTTTAAATTCTACAACAAGCTTATTTGATATGTGTAAAGCAATATCACTGATAAATATGACATAACATTCTTTTATCAATAAATAAGAAGCAGAGACAGAAACTCGGATTGTTATAGCATTATCAACATTTTCTAGAGCTAATTTCCCCCTCAGTGATAAGCAATTGGACATACAATCGAATAAGCTGCTACATGACTACATAATTATTCAAATACACTTTCAGCACATCTCTACAATATAGCGTGTCTTCATACCAAAAAAATTATCCTTATTAAGACCAAATGAGTAATACTGATTAAAAAAACTTAACATAAATGATGCATATGAAAGAAGAGAATCACACATTTTTCTAATAAAGGCTCAAATCGCATCAAATTTTAGAATAAGAAGCAAAAAATATAATCATAGTTTAGCAAATATGAATATGCTATCAGAAAGAAGAAATGTAATTTTAATATGAATGGCATGTGAATCCAAAATAAAAAAACAATTAATATGCTTAAACAAAATTGTCAGTAATCTATCAACAAAGAATTGTAACTCTAATTTAGAAGTAGCAAGGAATATCCTTTGCTAATAAGCAAAGGAAAGCCAAAAGATTGAAAGGATTGGAAATATAGCAATTATTATAAGTTGATATACTTACTGTATTAACCACCAGAAATAGATAGCTAATAAATATGTAATGGCATTAAAATGTTCCATAATAAAAAAACAGACACATGAATATATCCCAATCAAGATATACAATGAGCCCTGAGGTTATCTGGTAGAATAAGAGAACCATAAAGATTATAAGAGTGGTGTGATTGCAAAAATTATAAACTAACAAATGATCTAACTTGCTCAAAGAAGATTTATCGTTCAATTTGAGGCAGCAAAGGAAATACAAGAAAATTTTTTTTGATAACGTTGAGCTATTGATTGTCTCATGATGTATAAATCACTGTTATTAATCACAGAAACAGACACATTACATCATAAGCATGCTGCGGGTGGTTTTGAAGATGAAAGGATGTACTAAAGTAAGACTTCATATGTCTATTTTCTCACTGATCAAATTTGTTTTATATTAAGTTTCATAAAAACAAAGCAGAAGACAAAACACTAAAAAACAAAGCCATAGTATCCAACATTAAATGTAATAAGATATTTCCTAATTGTGTTAAAAAATACATGATAGTTAAAATTTGAAACATACCGAGTTTTTTGACATGGATGGTGTCACTGGTCTGAGCTTCAAAATTTGTAGACGATGCAATTCCTCAATCTTTTGGGAGTCACTGGGTAACTGAAACCAAATATTATATAAGAAAACTGCTTTTAGGCAAGTTATTATTTTTGAAAAACAATGCATATAAGTAACATTACTTGGGGCGTCATGCGAGCCCGTGCAGGAGTCTGAGCAATTGTTTCGGCCATATTTAAGCTAGTGGAAGTAGTTGATGCAGTAGGTGGCAGCACAGAACTAGTCTGTAGATTACTCCCTACAATAGGAACCTCTGCCAGTACAGATGTCCAGCCGTCAGCTCCAATGATAGTTGAAGAAGTCACAGGAAGATTATCAATGGCAGTACTCAGGCCAGGAGAAGACACTCTGATTACATCTGAACCTGCATGCTTTTCTTCAGCTCCAAGGGAAGGGAACTCTCTCTCAAATGAGGATTTAGTGATGCCAATAATTCTTCCCCTGTCCCCCATAGACTGAACACCATTGCTTGAATCATGGCCAGCTCTCTTCAGCCAAGAATCAGCCTTTCTTCCTGATAACATTGATTGAGAACGCCTTATGGAATCTTTTTCAGATTTGCTATACATTAATAAATCGGGATAGTCGCCAAATCCATTGTCCAGTAAAAGAGACTTGTCTCTTTCATGGATTTCAAGATCCTTCTCCCGATCCCTATCCCTATCCCTGTCACGATGGCTTCTTCCAAAACTATTGTAAGCACGAGAAGAAATATCTTTCTCGTGTCCAATGTAACCATTACTGGTAGAATTTCTTCGGGAAGAAGAAGAGGTTCTCCCCGAGAAAGACAATGAGCGAGGAGCATCATAATCAAGATTACTCACTGTCAATCTGCTTCTTGATGAGAAGCCATTGTTGTGTTCATCTGTTGCCAGGTTAAACCATCACATGATTAACAAGTAGCAAGGAGTCATAAAAAGAAATACCAAAATATTTGTTGGGATTTATACCTGACTGCAAGGAGAACCCACTTTGGTGGTTTGAATTGCCATTGCCTGCCGCACTGCTGTTTGAGACTTTATACCACTCTGGAACAAACGTAGGCTCACTCCGTTCCATTGCAGAGAAGGCTCATCATATAAGCTTAAAAAAAATGTAGCTAGCGAGTATGGGTTGTTCCCCCTATCATATAAACAAAAACTTAATCCAATATCTCTTCTTCTCCACACTCCTTTGTACAGAAGTATACCAGCACCTCTAAACCCAAGTATTCCAAAGAAGAGAACAGGATGTAAACAGCTAGGTTATGTTAAACTTGCGTTTCCAATCGATACAACTGATGATTAGAAATTAAACAATTTAAGTCCACAAATTCTAACCTGACAACCCAAATGGTTTTGATGAACGGATGCTACAAAACTAAAGGGATCTTTCCAGCTTCCAGAATTAAAAAGATAATACCTCAATCTCTACACATTCATCACAGGCAATCCATACCTGAAAAGCCACGGGCTGCCCTAATTAAAACCCCATCTGCAAACCCATGGTGAATCCAAAACAACGGTGAAGAAACAAAGAACCCTAAGAACCAGCGATCTCGTTCCACATCAGACCCATGAAAATATCCCAAACCACGTAATGAACAAAAACAGGAGCCGAAAGCCAAAAGTAGCGGTATTCGTGAAACCCTAGATTGAACAGTCGTCGGCAAAGCCGACGCAAGGAAGAGAACCGCAAATGCTCAGGAGATGCGATCAACCTCCCCTTTGTACGAAGCGAGGAGCTTTAACCCAAACCTCAAAACCCTACCCCTTTCTTGATGCCCTCGGAATGTTTCACGTTGCTTGGAATGCAACGCTTCTATCGGACAAGAAATTTTGAAGCCGCGGACACGAATGGGATAATTAGAAATCCCTACACCCTTCCTTCTCTCTCCTTCGCACAAACGTCTTCGCTTGCTCAGCTGTCTTCACCTCAATTCTCCTCTCTATTTGCTTCAATTTCCCTCGCGATTTACGCGGCTTCGCTCTTCATTTATCCTCTATATCAGTGGTTAGGGTTTCGGACAGGGAGTTAGAAGCGGAGGCGGTTCGGATTACAGGTGGTGGAGGAAAAAACGGCGACGGTGAAGGGTTCCCTCTAAGCTGCACTTCCTATTTTCGTTTTCCTTTTCCAGTATATTATTAATATTCATTTTTTGTTGCATCGCTTTATTTGTGGAAAGATAGTTTCTTTGGTTATGTTTTTTTTATATTTATGAGAAATAATTTATTATAATTTTTGTTGATATTTTTTTAATAAATGAAATTTTAACTAATTTTTAGAAATTATCAGATCAAATAATAATGATGATAATATTATTACCATTTAAATTTTTTTATAATTATTTTTTGTTTCATCTCTTTATTTCTGTAAGATAGCTTCTTTATTAATTTGTTTATATTTATGAGAAATAATTTATCATAAATATTTATATTTTTTGAATAAATGAGAAATTATCAGATTAAATAATAATGATGGAAATATTCTTTGATTTTGTTATGTTATTTTATCGATTTGTTGATTTTTTCTCCCATTAATTAAATCATATTAATGAGATATCATCACATATTCATTTGAAATTTCGTACATGGCCAAATAGGAAAGCACGCATTTAAAAATTGTAATTATGTTGAGGAGATTTTTGGAAGAAAATTATGGTGAGTTTTTTTAAAAAAATATTTGTATTATTTTATTTCTTTTAATGTTAAAAGCATTGCACTTAAATTATATCCTTTTAGAATTAGTAAAGATTTAGCATTTTCTTTTTTTTCCTCCACCAGTCCACCTCTCTCTCCCTCTTTTCCTTATTTAGTAATACTTACCTAATAATCCTTAGCTATTGATTTAGATTATTGTCCCCAAATTAGATTATATCATTTAAATATTTAACACTTAAATTTCATTATTTATATTATCAATACTCAAAATTTTAAAACTGAAGAACAATAATGCTATGTTTAATACCTTTAAGATGACATCAGTCCCTCGTCATGATTTCATCATCAGTTCTATTGCCCTTTACATGTCACCAACTTATTAGTCTAAAGAATTCGCTATTGCAAACTATTTGATGATCTTTTGATCCCATTTTTAGGTGATGTGAATGCTTTTCCCCTTCTTCGGATTTTATTTGTTGTTGGTCCCATTTACATCAATCACATGCCGTTATTCCTATCAAAACCCATCACAGCTTAATTTTATCTCGACTTCCTCATCATTTTAACATCCGACAATGTCCGATTAGAGTCTCGTAAGTTGTGATAGTATTATGTAAATAGTAAATTTTAGATGTTAAACATACAAACTATATTATTGTGATTACTAGGTATGTAAATTCCCTTCATATTAAAATTGTTGTCAAAAAAACTATATTTTATTATTTTATTAAAATGATTAACATTTTATTAAAACATTTACTTAATGCATAATCTGTCTCATGTGAAAAATGTTTGTTAATGATACATTAAAAGTAATGTTGTCTATGTGTAGCTGGGCTATATGCAAGTTTGCTAATACAATTAAGGCCTCGTTTGGGACGGTTTTTTCCTGCTTCATAACGTAAACTTTTGTACTAAAAAACTACTTTACTAAACATTAAAAAAGCCGCCCCAAACAAAGCCTAAAATGACATGGGATATTTAAGATAGGGTTGCAAAAAAGTATCGTTCACATTCAACTCGTTAGTAGATAAGTATAAAGATTCTATTGAGCTCAATTCATATGTACTAAAATAAACTCCTATTTAGCTTGAATTCAAGTGATTCGAACACAAACTCGATGTACATAAATAATATTAAACAAATGAAAACTTGAATGAGACGAACTCAAATGCATCGGAAGCTCACTTAAACTTGGTTTGTTAATTTATACCACCTATTGAACGAAAAAAAAAATTGTATTATGATAATCTTCAAAACTATTGGATTTGATCGAGATTAGTACAATTCACGATATCAAATATGGTGTTAATATTAATGCAAATCAAGCGCTTTGAGCCTGTCATGATACGAATATTCTGAAATAATTTAATCATATATTTCTATCTATTTTCAAACATATAATCTAATTTTAAACATTTTTGCTAAGATCCTAACTAAAAAATGATTAAGGATTTTCAATTTTTGTTAGTAAAATCTATGATTTTTTCCCTCCTTATGAATCAGTTTTCAATTTTCATTTGCAATAATTAGTTCAAATCATTATTTATGACAATTAATCTCTAATAATGTTATCACTATATTATCATATAATATCACAATTAATTGATATTATCATCATCACATGATGTGTGGGACAAACTCACTTGTACATTTTCCAATCGTTCGTGATCGCACATTAAATTCCTCTAAAAATATTCATACATAACAACTCACCGTGAAAATTCTGTCAATAAATTTGTCCAATGTGGCCCATATTGAAACCCATTATAAGAGGAAAATAACATTATCCATTGCTAAAAAAGAGTTGGACCATAATTTAAGAAAATGAAGTTGTATATAGAAAAAAACAACTCATCTCATTTGAAGCTCATTATGAGAAACTTACAAAATATAATGCAAAAATCGTCATCCAATCATTACAAATAATTTACACAAACAAAGTTTTCATCAAAACAAAGTTTGGACACTTACAAAAACTTTGTTATTGAAACCAAATTTAACAATGTCAAGCCTTATTAACCAACCAATACATACCAAATGCCACAAACTAACACTATATTATCACATAATATCACAATTAATTGATATTTATCATCATCACATGATGTGTGGGACAAACTCACTTGTACATTTTCCAATCGTTCGTGATCGCACATTATATTACTCTAAAAATATTCATACATAACAACTCACCGTGAAAACTCTGTCAATAAGTTTGTCCAAAGTGGCCCATATTGAAACCCATTATAAGAGGAAAATATCATTATCCATTGCTAAAAAAGAGTTGGACCATAATTTAAGAAAATGAAGTTGTATATAGAAAAAAATAACTCATCACATTTGAAGCTCATTACGAGAAACTTACAATATATAATGCAAAAGTCGTCATGCATCCAATCATTACAAATAATTTACACAAACAAAGTTTTCATCAAAACAAAGTTTGGACACTTCCAAAAACTTTGTAATTGAAACCAAATGTAACAATGTCAAGCCTCATTAACCAACCAATACATACCAAATCCCACAAACTAACTCAATATGACCCATGACAAATATGTCATACTGATTGAGTCGAATTTGGTGTTGTCGGGTTCGTATTTTTGAGACATTCAGTTCGACTATAAGTTTGTTGAAATCAGAGTTCAGATGGTTCCAATTTTAATTTCGAAAGTTTCCAACTTGATCTTGCCTCGAGATTTGTGCCCGATCATGAATTTTTTTTGATGATGTATCAATAGTGATTATTGATAATTATTTTAAAACTTATATTATGGATATGTGATATGATGCACATTTTTTCATTATTTATCTATATTAGAGGACTTGTTGAGAATATGATACATAAGTACAAAACATAAATGATATTTTATATCTCCTTTATTTTCATGCTATTAAAACAAACATCAGTATTACCCGTTGCAATAATAGGAGTTGAAAGAGTTTTTTTTTTTTTTAACAATTGTTATCATAAAAAAAAATATTGCAAAATAGAATTGAAGATCAATGGATAAATAATATTTTAATCATTTATATTAATTAAAAAAATATTAGATTGTATTGATAATGACGTTATTTTTCATTTTTTTTAGAATATGAAAAACATACACTATAAATTATAAATGTTTTTTTTTTCTACAATGGTTATCTTATTTTAATATTTTGTCTTCTTAAAAAAAAATTAAAATTGTAAATGCCGAAGTTGAGAAATTTTTTTTAAAAAAATTAAATTAGGCCCGTTATAAGAAAATTTTGGGTCCACCACTAAATAGTAGTGGTACTCTTATTTTTTCGTTTAAAAATAATATTTTATTTTGTTTTTGTTTTTTTGTAAATTGCATGCAAGAATGTATATCGCTTTAAGGTGAATAATTTAAATATTAAAAAAAAGACCTTCACCGCTTCAAGGTTCATTGGACACAACTGCAATCGAAGAAGATTCGCAGGCGAATCGAGACCGTCTATTATGCTCGTGATTGACGGATGGACGGCCGGATAAATGAATGAGTTGGGAAGCAGCAGGCTCAAAATTTTGGCAACAGTGAAAGTTTTTTGCTTAATCGACACGATAAATGACTTTAGTTTTTATATATTCGACGTGTAATCTTTCTTGAAACAAGAAAGAATGCGAGAAGCTTATGTTGGACTATTGACTTTTCAACTTGAACTTTTTGGCTAATGACCAATAAGAGATGTCAAAATCGTGTTTATGGACGGGTTCAGGTCTAATCCGAATCTGACCCGAATTTTTTTAATTTCAAACTGTTTTTATAAATGGGTCAGTTTTTCGGACCTGAAGCTCGGGCATGTTTTACTAAAATATTTTTACATAATTCGATTTATTTAAACCTAAATCGAATTAAGATAAGATTTATTTAAATTAATTTAAAATAAATCAAACTTAATTCAATTTGGGCAACATGATTTATTATTTTTTGGAAATATCATTTACTTATTTCATAATAATCTTCTAAAATCCTCATAAATCAATTAAAAACTGGTCAATTCAGGTTGATTTGGGTTTCTGGGTCAATCCGAATTTGAATCGGTTTTACAAACGGGTCAAAATCCCTAACACGAACCCGAAATTTTTGGGACAAGTTCGGGTCGAATTTTCGAGTCGTGTCAAATATTAATACCCCTAAATTTATTATGGTCCAACTCAAATGGTTGTTTATCCTAAATTGAATATTGATTAATTTTTATTTTTAAATAAAAATCATAATTATTTTTGCTTGAATTATTTTCAAGTGAAAAAATAATCTCAAGCGTTGATCTATATATAATTCTGATTTGTATTAAGCTATATATATATATATATATATATATATATATATATATATATATAATATGTTGTGTCCTGGAGTATTCGCAGCTGTAGAAAAATATATAGTTTAAAGTCTTAGGGTTGTACGAAGATCCATGGCACAGGCAGATAAGAGAGAGGGTGTAGCGTCATAAGAGTTACA